TTGAACGCGTCAATGGCTATGATACTGAATTGGCTGATAAAAATTAATCGGAATTTTGCGCCTTCCGGAATGGCATAATTGTTGTGTAAAAATCAAGCAAGAATCGTTTCACATCATTTCGATTAAAATGTCTGTTTTCAGTGCAATTCGCACATAAGAACGGTGCTGGAAATTGATATTTAATGAACTCGGGATCCTCTGTATCGCGACCCTTCAGGCGAGCGTTGACGATGTTATGTGCCCTCCACAAGTACATAAAGACATCATCCGGTTTTCGAACCTGAAAATAACAGAAATTTTATGTGATTGATTGCTGTACCTGTGGCCAAAATAAATTCGAAACTTTTTGGAGAACTTTAGAATCCCTTTCAGCATTTTGTTTCTCGATGGGATTCGCTATTGAAAACAAAATTGAAAAGGGATTCTTGGATGTAATGAAAAGTTCGAATGTGGCGGCATTATTCGATGCACACCAATCAATGGAAGAAGCTAAGCTGATATCACTTACGTTGACGTCCATCGGGAATGTTTTGGTAGTCATACGAATGAAATGGTCTCTGCAATATCGGCACCCAAAGAAGTTGTCCACCCAACCTCGAACTGCTTGCAGAGGTGACAGAGGATTGAAATCCGTATCTGAAAGCACCAAAAATTCAATTAAGATATTAAGAACAGCACGTAGTAATAAAAAAAAAGATGCAGTGATCTCATAATGGGATTCATAGAATCTTATGTACAATTTCTATTTGGATTTTTTCTCGAATACGACTGAACAAATAATGCACATTTCTTAATCAGCACTGAGATACCTATAACATAACGCTCTTGGAGTGCATTTTTAACAAATTGCAAAGCGAGTTGAAAGGCGTTAAGCAAGTGTTACTTACCATTAAAGCCATTTAAAAATGATTGAATGGTGAGCGTGTGGAATGTAGTCCAAAGACCGCACGTGTAACCACGGAACTTCGGGTCAGACCCTTTGCAGTGCTCCCAGTCCTCTTTGATCGGGAACGGAAGGCCATTTTTTTCCTAGAATGAAGCAATCAGATGATGAAAACAAAACTGAAATAAGTCGTTTATTAGTGAGACTCGACAGTATTTGATACGAACAATTATTGGCCAAAGCCTAACCTATACTGCTGGAAACATAGAATGAAAAAAAAGAACTAACTTC